TGGGAAGCTCTAAAGATTTATAAAGGGCAGTCGGCCAAGGAAAACTATAGGAGGGGGATGGAAGGAAGGTAGGAATTCATTTACAGTGAGTCTGGGCTCAGGAATCTAGTTGCAGAGTCTGTGGCGAGGCTGGTGTGTGCTGTGTCAGGAGAGTCACCCCGGGACACCCCACGATGGTTTCCTGGTGAATTCACCACAGTCCAAGGGAGGGGCCTAAGTCAGAAACCAGATTTGTCAGCTCACCAGGGAGGATGGTCTTTTAGGGAAGATCTAAATTTACCAGAGTAACACCTAGGAACTCGCTGGCAGTCCAGTGGTTAGGACTCCGTGCTTTCACTGCTGAGGGCCGAGGTTCAATCCCTGGTCAGGGAACTAAGATCCCTCAAGCCTCATGGTGGGACCAAAAATTTTTTTTAAATAAATAAGTAAATAAATAAATTTACCAGAGTAACACCTGAAGGCTAATCTCCATTTTCAGTAACTGTCAAAGCAAAAGCAATTATCAGGATACCAATTTACAGAAGATATATATATATATATATATATATATATATATCTTATATACCTATATCTATATCTATATAATCATTTACACAACAGCTATAACGGACTTGCCCATTTTCTTTCCATGACTGAGATGTGGTGGGAAGCTGGCCCACTGAGCTGCGAATCAGAGGCAGCAGTTGGTCATGAGTCATGAGAGAGATTTGAGAGGGTCTGGAGCCCTCATCCACGTGGCTATTGTGCCTCCAGGGCTGGACAGTCCTGGCCTTGGGCGGGGTCCTCTGCTCCAGACATGGGTGGATTGTCACTGCCAGGGCAGGCTCTGTAATGCCCCTTTTCTGTGCCGTCTGACAGCCACCTTCTTTTTTAGATTCTTGGTCAGGCTCCTCTGGCAGGTTTGGAACTGAACTGCTATCCCAGGGTTTTCTCAACCTTGGTTTCATGTTAGAATCAGCTGGGGGAAATTTCAAAGCTGCTAATGTCTGAGCTTCACCCCCAGAGATTCTAATTTTATTGGGCTGAAATGCGGCGTGGGTGTGTGGAGTTTTACAAGCTCCTCAGTGATTTCAGTGTCCTGTCAAGGTTGAGAGCCTTTGCTTTAAGGCAACTGCAGATCTCTGTTCTGGTCCACTGAACGCTGATTTTTCCCCTAGAGGGTCACTTAACATGGATCAGGTGCCAAGTACCTCTCAAGCATGACCTTGTTTAATTCTTTAACCCAGCCTGCCAGGCAGTGAAGAGCAGTGGTGCAGAGGGAAGGAGTCAGTTATAATTCCACAGAGACCTGGGTTCGACCCCAGAGCCATCGCCTACCAGCCAGGTGACTTGGGGCAAGTTACCTAATCCCTCTGAATCTTCGTGCCCTCATTTGTAAAGTGGGAATAATAATATCTGCTTCTCAAGGCAGTTGTGAGGAATAAACGAGGCAGCAGATGGAAATCAGCTAGCACAGAGTCATCGCCACCATACTGGCTCCATTTCAATGGGAGAAGTGGGAGAGACTAAGACATCACATTCCTTGAGGGTCCTTGAGAAAGTGGGGGGGGGGGTCCCCCATCATATCCTGGCCCACAGACTATGGCCAAGGAGTATGTTTTTTTTTTAATTATGAACATCAAGAATGGCTTTAATCACAGTGTTAATTTCATTTTTCTTCTGCTAATCAATTTTATGTACAGTAGTTCATATGTTAAACAATATGTGTACCAGAATTAGGAATATAAGCCCTGGGCTTCCCTGGTGGCGCAGTGGTTAAGAATCCGCCTGCCAACACAGAGGACATGGGTTCGAGCCCTGGTCCGGGAAGATCCCACATGCCGCGGAGCAACTGAGCCCGTGAGCCACAACTACTGAGCCTGCGCTCTAGAGCCCACAAGACACAACTACTGAGCCTGTGTGCCACAACTACTGAAGCCTGCACGCCTAGAGTCCGTGCTCCGCAACAAGAGAAGCCACCACGGTGAGAAGCCCGCGCACCACAACAAAGAGTAGCCCCCACTCGCTGCAACTAGAGGAAACCTGCACCCAGCAACAAAGACCCAATGCAGCCAAAAATAAATAAATAAATAATAAAATTTAAAAAATAAAAAAGAGGAATATAAGCCCTTCCTAATGAGGTACACTGACAGTTCATTAAAGAAAAATAATTTGCAGTGGGAAGGTGTCTGAGACTCAAGCTCCACTGAGAACACTACAGTCTATTTCCCTTCACAGGGTCCAAGGTGTGGGGAGGAGGGACGGGACAGAAGCTGCAGACACCCACCTGCAAGGCCTGAGTGGAGCAAACGCTTGGCACAGGCCAAGTGGCAGGGTGGGGACACGAGGCGGGCACCACTAAGAGGCCAGGCCAGGGAGCTCACACTGCTTGTGTTTGTGCAGTGTGTGGTGCTTGAGGCTGTAGGTCCAACAGTCCAGGAGGGGCCACATTCCCAATCTTCCCTCCCACTCACCAGGCTCCCCTAGAACTTTGCTGCTCGACTCTTTGGATGTCTCAGGGCTGCATTCCTCAGGGTCTGCTTGCTTCTCTCTTGTGGCTGGAAGGTATGTTCCCAGGAGAGCCTTCCAACGGGGTCGCGTCGGGGTCTGTGCCTGAGCGTTCCCTGTGCTCACTCTCCCTTGGGGTGGCTCGAGCTATGCCTTTTGACCCCAGTGGGGAACCCCATCGCACACCCGTTGGTCAGCAGCAGAGCTCCCGATGCAGACATCAGCGTAGGACCACATGTCCCCTCTCTCTACCCATGCATGTGGACAAGCAGAGTTGGAACAGCCAAGAGAAGCATCCCTGACCCTCCCCCCACCCCAAGCATTTGTTTGGGGGGGCAAGATGAGAGCATTTACACGCATCATGGTCCAAATTTCTTTAAACAAGAAAACACAAGAAAGTGAAAATATGATATTTATCTGGGTGAGAGGATAAAGAGACATTAAATCACTGAGCCAAGAAGCAAAATAAAAATAAGAATCAGCAACCGCAACCCAGCTCTGCCATCACCCCGTCCCCATCCGAGCACTTTTCACCATATGCTGCTGCCAATCTCGATGGGAATGTGGCTCCTACTGCGTTTAGTCTTTAGGTGAAGGTCCCTTTGCCAGAACTTAATTCCTTCCCGGCTCACCTGGTTGAGCCTGGGTCCAGGCAGTTCCTGCAGGAAATGATGGGACTTCCGTGTGGTCTGAGCTTCCGGTTTCCCTCTGGTCACAAGCTGAGTTGGACCCAAATCTCTGTTCCCTGAACTCCCCTCTTGCCAGGGCCTGCCCACTCAATGTCCTCCCCTAGGGCTGGGTCTGTGGGCCGGGCTTCCAGCTGGGGAAGGAACCCCCTCTCTTCCTGACCTCACAGGTCCCTCTAGAAAAGACACTGACAGGATAGGTCAAACTATAGAAATAGACACCGCACTCCACGTGGGTTCCTTTAGCCTGGAGGCACCTGAGAAAACTCAGTCTTTGAGGTCTACCTCCTCCCCACCCTACTCGCGCTCCCACACTCCTTTCTGGAAAATGTCCCAGTTCTTATTTATAGCCATCCAAAGTCCATGCCCCAGGAGGGGCAAACAGGGATGTGAGGCCCTGGAGGCTGTTGCTTGACTAGGTGGAGACTGTCCCCACTGGGACACACCTGGCTCCACAGTCCCCTGCATGCCCAAGGCTTCCCCATCCCAGGAGGACACCAAAGCCGAGGGGATTTGGGGTGGGGGATTATAGGACCTGAGGCAGCAGGGACTTCCCCCTAGGACCTCAGAGGGAAATACCAGGGAGTAGAAGCTGAAATAGCAAGAGGAGGGAAAGAAAGGAGAGAGGAGGAGGAAGCTAGGGTGACAGGGAATTGAGGGAAGCACCTTCCTAAGATCTCGGACACAGGCCTAGTGGGGACCCTGTCCTGGGGCTCCAGAGAACAGCTAGTCTCTAGCTGCCTCACCTTCATATTCAAGACCCAGGGCAAAGGAGGAGCTGGGGAGGCCCAAGAAACTTCTGAATGTACTTAAGGTAACTGAATTGTACATTTTAAAATGGCCAAATGGTACATTTTATGTTGTAAGTATGTTGCATAAAAGTTTAAGTAAAAGTTTTATGTTATGTTATGCAAAAAAAAAAAAAAAAAGAAAAGAAAAGAAAGGAAATGGTACAATTACTTTGGAATGGTGTCTGGCAGCTCCTCAAAACGTTAACCATAGATTACCATATGACCCAGCAATTCAGCTCCCAGGTATATACCCAAGAGAAATGAAGGCATTTGTCCACATGAAAACTTGTATACAAATGTTCATAGCAGCACTATCCATAACAACCAAAGAGTGGAAACAAAATATGGTCTATCCATACAATGGAATATTATTCGTCCATAAAGGAATTAAGTACTGAATCATGCTACAACATGGATGCCCCTCAAAAACGCTACACTGAGTGAAAAAAGCCAACCACAAAAGACCACTTATTGTATGAATATATTTATATAAAACTTCCAGAATCTAGGCAAATCTGTAGTGACAGAAAGGTTAGTGGTTGCCTAGAATTGGGAATGGGCTGGAGGGAAATAGGAAGTGACTGCTAACAGATTTTGGAGTTTCTTTCTGGGGTGATGAAATTGTTCTGGAATTAGTAGTCATGGTTGCACAACTTTATGAATATATTAAAACCCATTAAACTGTACATGTTAAAAGGGCGAATTTCATGGTATGTGAATTACGTCTCATTTAAAAAATAAGATTAAAAAACTGTTTAAAAAAGCAGGAGTCTTCTGGGAAAAGTATGGCCATCACTTTAGACTCCCAGCTGGCCATTCCTCTCTTCTCTGTGACGGGAACCCAGGACGTTTGAAGTCAACAAAACTAAGAACCCCCTGTGTCAGGCATCACAGACTCAGGGTGCTCCCAGCAGGGAGGGGGAGGGAAGGAAGGATGGTGCGAGAGAGAGGACTGCCCCATCCAGTGCCCATCCCCTCCCCTCCCCACACTCCCTGGCACTGGGGTCCCAGCCACATTCCCCATCCCAGGAACCACCTAGTTGTGGGAGAAGGCAGGGAGGTGGGCGGCACAGGCCGCAGCCTGGGGGAGGCAAGCCAGGCGGTTGACCTCACAGGCCCCAGCATCCTGGTCCTCCCAGAAGTAGACGGAGTCAGCAGAATTGAAGGAGGGGTCCTGGTCAAAGAAGCTGTAGGGTCGGAGGAAGAAGCCCACGCCGTTCCCCACAGTCACCGTGTTGGGAATGTCCTCTGCATGGGGGATGTGCAGGAAACCGGCTGTCACCCAGGCCACCAAGTCCTAATGGGGCCGAAGAAAGAGGATCATGAGGTCTGGCTTTGCTAAGGGCACGTCCGCCTCCCCCAGTGGCCTTGTATGGACGACTGAGTTCAGCAGCCCAGGAAAAATATGAAATCATAGCGCTTTCTTCCTTAGTGGGTTCTAAAGACCCCTAGAGGAATCTGGCTTGGGAGAGAGTAAGGAGGCTCATCCTTGCTCCCCCGGCCTCCCCGCTCATGCCCACCCCCTCCCCCTCAACTCACCTGCCAAGCAATGGTCTCATTGTTGATGAAGTCAGTGAAGTTCAGGGTGGGGGGTCCAGGGGTCCTTCAAATTATAGATGCTGATGCTTCTGGGCTCCTCCTCCTTCCGCTGGGTCACAGCCAGCTAGTACCTGCAGGGGATTTGGATTAGACCCACAAGGTCATCGACCCATCCTGCTGTCTGAAGCTGCACTGAAGAGAGGACACAAAGGGGAAATGAGCATAAAGGTCTTATGTTGTCCAGCCTCTTTATTGTTCTCTGTCCACTTCCCTCTCTCTCTCTCCCTCCCTCTCTCTCTCTCTCTCTCTCTCTCTCTCTCTCTCACAAAGTTCCCGCATTTGCTCAATATCCTGTATCTCAAACATCTACCGGCCCATTGTTCAGACTTCAGGTGGGACTGTCGCTCACGCATCCATGCAGATGGGAGTCTGGGCCTGGATGCATGTGCACAGACATGGCCTGATTCCCATCTTAGTTGAATTTCAGTATCTCATGTGCCTGCATTTTAGTGAATATTCCCTCAGATCTGTGCTCCTCTCTTTGTTTTCCCCTCCAACCTTGATTGTGAACACTTTAAACATACAGAAAAGTTAAAAGAATAGTCTAGTGAACACCCATATACCCACATCCTAGATTCTACCTGGAGCATTTTGTCATATTTGATTCAGCATGTATCTTTCCATTCATTCATCCACTCAGGAGGCTTCATTTTGAGCAGCCTAAGATTGTGGCTGCAGCAATGTGTGTGTGTGAATGTGTGATCATGAGTATGTATATGTACACACACCCATGGGAGGTGGAGGAACCTGGGTTCCCAGCAACATGGAGCCTTTTGTACAGTCTTTCTCCCTCAGTGCCTCTCTGACACCCCATCACCCACCTTGCCCAGCTCAAGGCTCTCTCCATGGAGCTGTTCTGGGGCAGGAGCTCCCCAGCAAAGCTGACTGTCTGGATGCGGTGGCCCCTCGGGTGCCCCCACTTGTTGCTGTGATTGCTGGCCAGGTACAGGTAGCAAGGGGAGGGACCTCCCAGGGGGAAGGCGGCCTGCTCCTCCGTCTCCAGCAGCTTCCGGGTCACCTGCAGCCTCTGTATCTGGTGCTTGGGGCTCCAGGGTACCGCCGTAAGGACAAAAGCCATGTCCTCAGCCCAGACCCAGTTCTCCAGTCCTGCAGGGGTGAAGTGGAGATGGTGGCGGGAAGAGGGGAGGGAGGGCTGGTCATGCAGCTGCTCTGCCCCCTCTGGACTCTGTCCCCACCTGGCTTCAGAGTGGGGGCCAAAGAGAAAGCCAGACTGAGTGTGCCCCCCTCTTCCCTCCCCTCTCCCCAAGATGTCCCTGATCCAGAGATTTGGAGAAGGTCTTTCTTCTTGATATCATCTCTGGTAATAATCCCAGATGTCTTGTGACTGGGCTTCCACTGACCTTCCCCCTCTGAGGAGCTGAAGGGAGGGTGGTTTACCTGAGGTTGGAGCAGTCTAGTAGGCAACGTGCAGGGCCAGGTTCTTTCTGACCTGAGGAAAGGGTCTGCACCTCATATCTGAAGCCCTCTGGCGTCACTAGAACTGATTATGAAAATAATCACAGCAGTAGCTCATATTTGTTGAACTTGGAGGAGCTCTGCACAGGCAGTGTGTTGAGGGCTTTACATGGATTGATGCTTTACTTGCACAACAACCTGATGAAGGAGGAACTATAATTGTCCCCATTTTACAGATGGGACAACTGAGGCTTAGAGAATTTAAATAATGTGCCCCGGTTTGTCACCAAGGGTACGTGGTTAGTTTCATAGCAGTGCTGGGGACCCAGGTCTCAGTCTGGCTCTACACTGCCTAGACATCAGTACCCAGAGGAAACCAACACAAAGGGACTCCATCACACATGGACAGCAGACATGCAGGTCAGAGGGAAGGAGAGTCAGACCCCAGGCCCAACACTGCTGGAGCTTAGCGGTGTTTTCTATTGCTTGGGGATTGGTAAGGAATAAGGGGCAAGGCCAAAGACATAGTCTGTTGCCTGAATATTTGGAGTTTTGAATGATTTTATTGGAGTCCAACTAGGTTCTATATTAGGACTCAACTTAAGTGATCTGAGACCAAAGAGCAGTAAACCAAAACACGCCGGAAGCTCCCTCCATACCTTCCAAAGATCAAAGAGAGCAGAGACTGATTAAGCAAACCCTCAGTTTCCCTTTGTGAATTACTGCTCCTAGCCCACACTCCACAGTTTCTACTTGTAGATGACAATTAAAGGCCAACAGTTCCTTTTCCGGTACATCCACACAAGCAGGCTCATGTGGATAATACTAACAATAATAATTAATACTTCTCTGTGTGTGTCAGGCACCGTTCCAAGTGCTTTAAGAGTTGTCATAGCTTAGATGTAGAGATAAAGAGAGATGTGTGCGTCAGTTAGAATACATACGCGTATTTTCTAGCTAAGTCCGATGAGAGAGCCTAAAAGCAATGACATCCCAGTAATAATGAGCACACCTGGTACCCAGATCTTGGTTTCTAAATACTATTCTCCAGTGAAAGGAACCAGAGATTCTTGGAGAAGTGGTTGATTTCAGGGCTGGAGCAGGGAAAGTACAAGATGTAACTGGAATATCTTGCGGTGCCAGAAAGTAAAGAAGTGCTCAAAAAAGGATGGAGGCATGTCAGCAAGACATAGGAACCAACCTGAAGGCTCTCCCGATGGCCAAAGCTGAAACAGTTTAAGGAACAAAATAAATGATAGTATGGGGTTATAACTCTTAGAATAAAATATCCATGAGTCCATACAGTTATGAATAAATAATTACATACATAAGTAAAGTAAAAAGGAGGGATAACACTTTCTTAATGGAGAATTCCAATTAATAAATGTATAAAGAATAAGAGAAAAAATGTAAATGAGACAGCAATAATAATTGTTGCAGGAAAAATCCACCAATAGATGCTAAAATTCGTGGGCAAGAGTTTGAGAAGAAAAGAAATAGTATATTTGCGTAGCATCAAAAATTTCCCCTAAATATTTATTAATTGAAAATGGAAAAACAGTAACTTTTGCAACGGAGGAAGCTGGAAAACACCACCTTAACCAAGTGCTTGAGGCCAATATCACAGGTAATAAGACATATGGACATCACATACCCCTTGATATGATGCTCTGAGAAGGGTATAAAGTCATTTCTGTGGTTTTCTTACCAAGAAAACCTCCACAGAAACGAAAACACAAGCTCAACCCAATCATGAGAAAATATCAGAGAATCCCAAGCTGAAAGACATTCTACAAAATGATTGACTAGTATCTTCTAAAGTGTCAGTTCCTGAAAGACAAGGAAAACCTAGAGAACTGCCAGACTGGAGGAGACCATAAGGAGATAGGACATCTAAGTGCAAGGTGGGTTGCTGGTTTAGATCCCGGAACAGAGAAAGGAAATCAGTAAAGAACTGATGAAATTCTCATAAAGTCTGTAGTTTATAGTATTGTAATAATGTTAATTTCCTGGCTGTGATTGTCCTGTGGTTATGCAAGATGTTGACATTAGGGGGAGCTGGTGATGGGTATGTGAGAACTCTATATAATGTCCACAACTTTTCTGTAAGTCTAAAGTTATTTCAAAAGAAAAAAATGTTTTTAAATAGTCATCATTAATTCTCACAACAGTCCTATGAGGAATGCACTGTTACACCATTTTTACACTTGAGTAAACTGAGATACAGAGAGGTTAAGCATAAAAATGTGGAGAAAATGGAACTCTTTTACCTTGTTGGTGCGAATGTAAATTGGTGCAGCCACTGTGGAAAACAGTATGGAGGTTCTTTAAAAAATGAAAAATAGAGTTGCCATATGATCCAGAAATTCCACTCCTGGCGTATAGCCGGACAAAACTGTAATTCAAAAAGATACATGCATCCCTGTGTTCAGAGCAGTACTATTTATAATAGCCAAAACCTGGAAACAACCTAAGTGTCCATCAACAGATGATTAGATTAAGAAGATGTGATACATATATACATATATATATATCTACATATACATACACACACAATGGAATACTACTCAGCCATCAAAAAGAATGAAATAATGTCATTTACAGCAACATGGATGGACCTAGTGATTATCATACTAAGCAAAGTGAGTCAGAAAGAGAAAGGTAAATACCATATGATATCACTTATATGTGGAATCTAAAGGACAACACAAATGAACATATCTATGAAACAGAAACAGACTTACAGATATAGAGAACAGACTTCTGGTTGCCGGGGGGAGGGATGGATTGGGAGTTTGAGGTTAGCAGATGCAAACTATTATATATAGAATGGATAAACAACAAGGTCCTACTGGATAGCACAGGGAACTATATTCAGTATCCTGTGATAAATCATAATGGGGGACTTCCCTGGTGGCGTGGTGGTTAAGAATCCACCTGCCAATGCAGGGGACACGGGTTCGAGCCCTGGTCCCACATGCTGCGGCGCAACAAAGCCCGTGCGCCACAACTACTGAGCCTGTGCTCTAGAGCCCACGTGCTACAACTACTGAAGCCCGTGTACTTAGAGCCCGTGCTCAGCAACAACAGAAGTCACTGCAATGAGAAGCCCAGGCACCGCAACTAAGAGTAGCCCCTGCTCGCCGCAACTAGAGAAAGCCCACACACAGCAACGAAGACCCAAAGCAGCCAAAACTAAATAAATTAATTAATGAATAAAAAAAACATAATGGAAAGAATATGAAAAAGAATATATTTATGTATAACTGAATCACTTTGCCGTACAGCAGAAATTAACACAACATTGTTAAGTCAAGTAAACTTCAATTAAAAAAAAAATGTTTCTCTCACATTTTCCAGGAGCCCTCCACTGTGCTCTCCACTCCTCCATTACAACCTAAGCCTACTGAGAGCAGGGATATTGTTTCTTTTGTTACATTGTTTTAGTGCAGTGCTTGGCACAAATACTCATTCATTCGGTAAATATTTGTTGTTTGCCTGAGTGTAATATGTTGTTATGTGAGAAATTAGAAGTGACAAAATATATGTACATTATGATTGAAATTTGGTGGTAAAATTCTAAATATGTATATCAGTATATCATATATACATAGTATACACTGTAATATATTCTAGATTGCAGACGCACAATTTTAAAAAAGGAAAGACTTTTTTTAAGCATGAGAGAATAACCATCTAAGGGTGAAAATCTCTGAGGAATTTGATGACTTTCACATTTTCTTCTTATACTTTTACGTTTTTAATGCTTCAATGACAATTTTTAAACCTAGGCATGGAGACTTCAGCCCCCTTTACTGGAATCCTGGCCTCCGCCAGGATGTCTTACCACCTGCGTCCAGATCCACCTTGAAGTGGGCACTGTGGGTGTGGTCAGGGGCGTGGCAGCGGCCCCACCAGCAGCTCAGTCACATTGGGCTGGGGTTGTCCACCAAAGAAGACGATGGCCAGTGCCTCCCGGGCAGGCAGGGGGCTCCCCCTGTCCAGGTGGGCCAGGGCTTCAGCTTGGGGGGCAGCTCCAGCTCTACCGAGAAGACGCAGTTGTCTGAGGGTTGGGCCTGAGCTGCATCCACCAGGCCTGGTCCCAGCTTCTGGGTCAGAAAGCTCATCACAGCCGTCAGCTCTTCTCGGCTCAGGTCTGCAAACAGCTGGCTCTGGCCAGGGTGTGTCCAGGGCTGGGCACTGGGAGATCCGGAGGGGCAGAGGGGAGGCAGGCCGGGATGACACTCCTTCCCAATTCCTTCCTCACTCCCAGCACCACCTTCACCCATGCCCATCACCAGAACACTCCACAGGGACAAAAGAATAAAGACAGCCATAGCTAAAGCTCCTGGCTGCCTCCAGGCCCTTGAAGCGGAATGCAAGATAGAAAGACAGACAGACAGACAGACAGGACCTGGGTGCACGATGCCCCTTTCAGTCTCTAGAGGTTCCTGGCTCTGGGTGGGGCTTCTGGGCAATGGCACGATGGGTACATTCAAGACAAACAGCCAAGGGCAGAAGGTTGGCAGGGGGTGGAGGTTGGGCGAATCAGTGGAGAAGCCAGGCTCAGGAGGTGGGGCTGATGTAGGAATGTGGACTTTAAGTGGCTCAAGTAAGCCTCTGTCCTCCTGTTCCAAAACAAACACACAGGTTCAAGGTTGGGGAACGAAGTGCGGGAGGGATCGGTTTGGGAGATACACCTGGAGAGAGGCAAGCGGAAAAAGTGACAGGGGCAGAAAGGGACTGTCCTTCGGCTCTTCCTCCACTCTCCAGATACAGCCTTTCTCCTGGCTACAAGGCCGCAAGCAAAACTCACCTGTGCACACCCCTCCAACCGGATTCCCTCCTTCCATCCTCTAGCTGATGAAGCCCTCATCACAGTCTATGGCTCCCCCATCAACCAGAATCCTACTGGCACCCATAGGAGACTGGAGAGTCATGCTGAGAACATAAAGCACCTGGGAGGAGCTGGGGGTCTCAAGGGCTGAGCCAGGTCAACATCTTGGAGGCCCTGAGCACCCTAAATCACTGGAGGGGAGCATGGGGGCGGGTGGAGCCAGTCCAAAGTTGGAGGGGGTGGGGAGTTTCAGTGTAACAGAGATCCCTCCCCACTTGAGCAGGACTGATGGAGCATGGCAGAGGTCAGGGTGCCTGGAAACTGGCTGTGAACATAACCTAGCTGCCCACAACCTTCATTTCCAGGAAACCCACCTCCAAAATATTGCAGAGGCAGAGAGCAAAGTTGCCTCCATTCTTGGGCAGGTGATGTGTGGGAGACTGCCATCCACTGTGCAGCCAGGTCCTGAGAGGAACTAGGAGACACTGAGGGATCCAGAGAGAGGACATGCATCTCTTGTGAGCCTGGAGGAGAAACCTTTGCAACCTGGACATGTCCAAGAGCTCTTCCCCAGGAAACCATGTTAGACTGACCTTGTAGACAGAGTGCGTGCGCCTGCAGGAGACTGGACAGGGCATTCCAGCCGAAGGGAACAGAAGCTGCAAGGGTACAGAAACTTGAAACAGCCTGGGCCTGGGCAGGGAACGGCCAAGGCCAGCTTATGGGGTGTGAGATGGGGATGGGAGGGGGGCAGGCAGAAGAGGTCAGGTCAGGAAGCCTTGTGAGGTGTGTGTCTAAGCAAAGTAGTAATTGTGGAAAGGCAGTGAGAAATCTCAGAACATGTGAAACCAGGGAAATCAACACCAGAAAGGTCAGATTCTCCAAATATCATCTGGTTATGCAACCAGCTCTATTTTGATATGAGAATTCCACATAAGGGGTCATTTTATTACTGACCCGTGTCCTTGGACTCTTTAATCAATAGAATTGATAAGAAGCCAGAGGAGGAATTCAGGCAAGGCTTTACTGGGACTCATGCTGCAGCAGGAAGGAGTAAGAACAGAACCCAAGTTCCCAGGACTTCCCTGGTGGCGCAGTGGTTGAGAATCCACCTACCAATGGAGGGGACACAGGTTCGAGCCCTGATCCGGGAAGATCCCACATGCTGCAGAGCAACTAAGCCCGTGAGCCACAACTACTGAGCCTGCGCCCTAGAGCCCGTGAGCCACAACTACTGGGCCCATATGCCACAACAACTGAAGCCCACGTGCCTAGAGCCCGTGCTCCACAACAAGAGAAGCCACCGCAATGAGAAGCCCGCGCACCGCAATGAAGAGCAGCCCCCGCTCGTCGCAACTAGAGAAAGCCCGCGTACAGCAACGAAGACCCCGCACAGCCAAAAATAAATAAATAAATAAATTAATTAAAAACAAACAAACACAAGTTCCCTTGCTTGCTCTCTGTGGAGGCTGGGCTGATTCCTTACGTGGGGTGAGGGTGAGGGTGCGGCTGGGGGCAGATCGGTGGGTCGGGCCCAAGGGGAGGCTGAGGTGTTTTGCCCACCCCCTTGATGGTGCTGTGTGCAGGGGTCATGCCCAGTACCCTGCTTTTCCTCCCGGCACCTCAGAAGTGGCAGTTGGTTTGTGGCTTTTTTGTATCTTATGGTTCATAATTGCCCCGATTGCCCATGCATGCAGGTATTTTCAGTCCCTTGTAGTTTCTTTGTGTTCTGTGGCTCCAGGAAGCATTGTCCAGGTGCAAGTGCGAGCACTCCGGTAAAGGGTCCCAGGTCCCAGCCTGTCTCAATCTGAAATGGGCCCTGTGGACTTTATAATAAGGGGGAGCAGAATCTAAGGTCAAACCCAGCCCTGGCCACAAGGCAGGCTTTTCCAGCCTGGGCACTTCATTCTGGGCCCTTTCATAAGCGCTGGCCTTACCTCCCAGCTAAGAACACACTTTTAAGAGGTTGGCTAATGTTTTATGTCCCGACCAGTGCTACCAAGCGCAGGTCAAGAACGTCCACTCTGGTGGGGTATCCCCAGGCTCTCCTATGGGAGGTGGGTAATGATCAGGGAGTGGGAGGGAGAGCCTTTGCCTTGCCTGGTGGGGGAACTGGTGCAGATGAAGGTGTCCCCTCTGCCCACCTTCCCTAAAAGTCTCGCTGTCACATCGCTTCCTCTGATATCGTTTCATCCTAGGCTTCACAATCATCATGTCAAACACCCTAAAAACGTGTTGAAAAGTTGTCCCTTTTGGAGAATTACTCAGGAGACAGAACCACACGTCCTGCTCCCCCCACTAGGTCTTATTTTCATTTGGACCAACTTGTCCCCAGTCTTTGTGAATGTGCTGAAGATGCGTTTATCCCTGGGAGCCAGAGTCCACCCCCCAGCCCACAGGCTGAGGACTGGGCCCCAGGATGTGGTACCTGAGTCGAGCTGCTGCCCCAGAGGCCCTGTGTGGCCAGCGGGACCATCCCAGGCACCCAGGTCAGTGCACTCTGATCTGCATTCTGGGGACATGGCTCTGGCTCCAGTGTGGAGCGGGGCTTGGGTGTAGGACAGACGGCGGGGAGGACACTGGACAGGAAACAAAGGGCCAGGATGAGGCCGGTGACCTCGAGGACAGACAGGAAGGGAGGGGTCTGAGAGATGTGGTGGGTGGAGTTGACAGGACTCGGTGTCTGATTGGGTGGATGAGTGAGAAAGGGCATAGGCTCTTAGGCGATACAAGGACACAAAGGTTGCACCGGGTGACTTGAGATGGTGGGAGACTTTCCTCAGAAGAAGCACATACGGGGGACTTCCCTGGCGGTCCAGTGGTTTAGATTCCACGCTTCTGCTGCAGGGGAACTAAATCCCGCATGCCAAAAAAAAAAAAAAAAAAAAAAAAATGTTCTTCTGCCACAACAGTGAGAGGACCACATACAGCAAAAAAAAAAAAAAAAAAAAAAAAAAAAAAACAATGTTCTTCTGTTCAGGAGGTCAGGGGCTGTGGACCAGAGTCAGTGACCAGGCATCCTTTCTTACTTTCCCTGTGATCTCAGCAGAAGTTGGGAGGTGGGAGTGGGGCATCCAGGATGGGGCTCTGATCGGGGCACTCTGCAGACAGGGCCTCCTTGGGCCACATTCTCACAGGAGTCCTCCCCCAGCCTCACCCTGAATTCAGGCCACCATCATTTCTTCCCCCTGATCCACCTCCCTGTGCCTAAGCCTTCTGTCAACTCTATTCTTTGTATCTGGGCCAGAGGCAATGTCCTCAAAGGCAACACTCACCCTGTCACTCCCTTGCTTAGAATCCTTCCATGGCTCCCCATTTTCCTTACAGTAACTGTGGCTTGCAAGGACCTGCCTCCTCTGCCCCCTGCTTGGCCCTCCAGGCTCTGCTCACAGCCCACACACGTCAATGAACTTGAGTACTTGGATGGGGCCAGTTTGTCACCTCCTGGTTTCTGAACATGCTGTTCCCTCTTCCTGGAACCTTATCTCTGCTCTCTTCCTTCTCCCTTGGCCAACTTCTACTCCTCTGCCAGGATCAGCTTAGACATCAGGTCCCTCAGGAAGCCTCCCCGATCCCTAAGTCCGGGTTAGGAGCCCCTGCTATGTCCTCCTGCTACCTCCTCCGGAAAATTCCCTGATGTAATGGACCCTTTACTGGCCCCTCTCTTCCCTGAGGGTAGACATTGTGCATCTTATTCCATATCGTATCACAGTGCCTTTCAAGGTACCTGGCATGTAGGAGGCACCGGGGAAATCTTTGCTGAGTGCATGTAGGGATCCTCCCGCACCCTCAGAGGGAGCCCTTCCCGGGGGGCTACAGGCGAGCAGAGGCAGGCGAGCACATCTTGTGCTCCTCACAGGGACTTCCCATGTCTACATTCCTGGAAGTCCCAGTTATGCCCCTGACCTAAGCCTCAGGCGTCCCCTTGTCCAGCTCCTCTTAGGGCAATGGGCCCAAGTCCTAAAGATCTTGGCCTTGGGGACACCAGTTATTTCAGAACCTGACATCCTGGGTTACTATTCCCTCCTATGGCTTGATCAGAAGTCTGAGGCTAACAATCCAGCCAGCCTCAGGGGTTTAGGAAGAGAGCGGGTTGGGTAGGGGGCTGGAGGTCCACCTTGCAGCCCTCCTGACCCCAGCTGGGCTGATGAGCTCACGATCTACATGTCCACTGACGCCTGGGCCAGGGTTGTCATCTCCATGTCATCTCCATGGAGGGTTGTCATCTCCATGATGTGACTGAGAGACACACCACACTTTTTCAGATCAAAGCTTGTGAGCGAGCATTCACACACGCGCGCGCACTCACCACTTGCAAACACACTCTTGGTCTGGAGATGGGTTTCAAGGCAATGAGTGTCATGTTATAAAAACAGAATGGGATGAGGCGTGGACACCAGCATTCCTTTATTCCTTTTCCCTCCAACACTGACTGTTGTGCAACTGACCATAAACAGCAGCCAGAAGGAGGTGGAGACAAAATCATAAGCATGTAATGGA